AACAAACCTTAAAAAAAGATTTCAGATGTTACAAGTCTAATTAAAGAGACAGACAAAGCACAGTTTATACTGTAGATTTTTTCTGCAGTTCAATTAATCAGCATGTTTTCTCTTTTAATTAAAACCATTTTAGTAAATTAAAGCCCACAGCAAAACACATATATAATTTGTTTGTAATTAGCTCTTAATTGGTGGTAGTTGAAGCTTAGCACCCTTGGTTTCTTTCTTCATGATTGCCATTTTATTAGCAGCCAGTCATTAATTAATCTTTTTTTCTAATTAGCTTATAAAACTGTTGATGGCACATTATTGTAAATGTGATTTTAAGTTCAAAGCTTGTTAATAAGCTTTCTTACTTAGAAGAACAGAGATAAAGAAATTGCTGAAAACAGTACTACAGTTCTTTTTTTAAAACTGCCTTTCTTATAAGGGGGCTGTGTAAAGCATCTAACAGCTTATAGTTAATTTTTTAATGCTGTGTTTTCTCATGAATGGAAGAAGTTACTTGCATTTAAACATTTAAATCCACCAGAGCTTAATATTAGAACAGTTTTCTGTCCTTGCTCCATTACTGTGTCATCCAAATATAATTTGATGTTGTAATACACAGCATAAAAATACAACAAAGGTATTACAAAGTATTTTACAGTGGAAGTTGAGCACATCATTGAAAGGGGACAATTTTCACTGCAAAATCCACTCAGTATTCTTGTTTGCTTTATATATTTTATATACGTCAGCAATGGATAACATTCCGTAACATAAAAGGAGAAAATCATTGCTAAAGGCAAGCCTGAAATAACTAGATTCATATTTGATGAGGAACTGTAACACTGTATTAAAAGGCTGTTTGCCTTCTTTAGTATGATCATAGGATATTTCAGGACCTGTTTGAATATAGATGTTTTGTTAGAGCTTCTGTAGGTTTAGCATTTTGTATATTATACCTAAATATTTCTGGAGCAGTTCTTGAATCTGTTGTCTCATTACTTGTATCATTCAGCATCTACGTTGCACGGTGCTATCTTAATGAAAAGTGTTTGCTTTATGATATTTAATGTTAAGTGTCTTGATTTTCAAGGAAGTTTTCTGGAAGTTACAGTAGATTCTGTTGCAACTTAATAAAAATGTTTACTCTTCTTCCTGAACTTTACATACTATTTCAACTTCAGCCATTTCTTTGCTTGTTTTAGAAGTGTTTTATGATGCTGTGCAAGAAACACTAGAAAGGGATAGCTGACAAGGAAAAAATTAAAAATTGGATAAAAAGTAAATGAATAATGTCATATTACTAAAAAGATGAGAGGCTAATTTGTGCCGACTTTTTGCTAATTTTGTTCAAGCCTCAAAATGAGGAGCTGTCACCCGTTCTGTGTAGCACTGATGACAGTGCCAATGATCCATGAAATAAGCTGCCGCTGGCTTTGTTCTGATAAGAATGAACAAATCTGCACAATGTACGGCTCCCAGAATCTCATTTTCATACTTGCATGCAGGCTAAAAGAAATAAGCTGTTTGCAGGCTTGATTAATCAGACATTTGAGGGTTTTTTGTCTCTTTGATCTCTTTCGTCTCCTAGGTAACTTGCTTGACATTAATGTTGAGCTTGAGTAAAGACAATCAGGAATTGTAGACCAAACTGATATAAAAATTAAAGACCTTAACACTTTAAGTACTCCAGTAATGGTTCCGCTTTACTTCAGAAAACATCTGTTTTCATTTAATTAAAGAACAAAAGAGAATGGCATAAATATTTTTCATAGAGACCTGTTATTCCATAAAAAGTTAAGGTATGATAATTAGTATTTTTAAAGAAATGCCTTGAAACTGTTCAAAAAGAAGCAAAGCTTCAGAAATTTGTTACAAGGTAACAATTCTCAGATGAGTAGAAAACTTACGAAAAGTAACGGATAAGGAATTTTCATTTACGCTACATTAAATATCTAGAGTAAGATATTTGATGTGATTATTGGCCAACTTCGAAACGGAAAGGTCTTTGCCCTGTAGGAACTAAGTTGTTTTTTGTCTTTAAAAATACATATATTGTGTTACAAGGATGAACCATTATATCAGCTTTACTACCCAATATGATTTACACACTTTAAACCTGTAAAATTGAAAGGAATTTAAAAAAAAAAAAATGTCGCAGTGCGTTTGCTTGAGGTTATGCAGACGCTTTTACAAATCTTCCAAGTGGCTGTAAAGATGAATGCCTCAAGGGTCTAGCCAGGGCCCTGCTTTTCCAACCAGCTAAAGCCCTTATCTTAAATCCAAGCAAAGTACCATTAATCTTTTTGAAAGACCTTTTATGGCTTTTAATATATCCCAAATTAGAACATTTTACACCCTTGGTTCCTGAAATATGGTGATAAAAAGCCTTTAGAGCTTAATTTTCCTTACTGCATGCTCTGACCAATTTGCAGTTCTTTGTGATAATGTTTAGACACCTTAATTAAAATGCAGCAAAATATTGGATGTTCTATATGGAAAATGCTGATACTTTGACTACACAAGAAATTGTTGTATATATTTTTATTCATGCTTTCTTACTTCTTTTAAGATTGTATTTTATTGAGTTATCTGATGACCTGAATTTTTTTTTATGTAAAACCCATTGACCAAGCTTTTACAGATTTCTTCTGGGGAGGGGGGGAAGTGAAGATGTATGTTTGGGTGTGGGTGGGAGCAGAAGACGTTTAATCTGACTAAAATGTTTGTGTGTGTTTATATGTGACATACTTGTTTTCATGTCTTGAAAATTTGACTCTCTGTAGCCTAGAAATGATAACATTAATGCTGCAAAATGTTTCTCCTTTTACTTCCGCATACACTACAGAGGGTCGTCTTATCCCATTTTTTTCCGTATTTGAAAAGATGGAAGGACTCATTCTGTCTCCCAAGAATACAGATCAAAAGATTTTTCTGCAGCACTTGTGTAGACCTCACTTGTGTATATTTGTATGTGTGTAAGTGTTCAATAGACCACTAGAATGTATTTTAAGGAGATATTGTTATTCATCACGTAGTAAGAGTTAATTTTCAAGTACGTTAGGAGGTAAAATACAGGTCAAAAATAAAGGCATGGTTCTGCTGATTGACTGACTTCAACCATCAGATTGCTCTATTTTTTTTAAGCTAATAATTAGTCCTGTTTCCATTAGCAAGTAAACATTTTTTGGATATTTTAGGTGAGTTTTTTTAAGCATTTTTATACTGCAAGTATATTAAAGTTAATAGCTGCCCTTAAATATTAAGTGACAGTGCACATAAGAGAATGTTATGTTCTAGTCTTTGACTTGAGATTTGGCAGTTTAGATGTTGTCATTGAATTTCTGATTATATAAAATGTTAATGCTCAGGGGAAAAATTATGTCGCTAATAATATAAAAGTTTTGAAATGTCTGGTCACATGAATTATTTTGTGCATCAAGATGATTCCATAGGTACATATCTATGACCTTATAACATGTGCAAATAGTAGATAAAAACTTGTTTAGCATTATTTATTTTGCACATTTCCTTTTTAAAACATTATGCTGAACTGTTTGTGTTGCCGCTGTTGAGAGCCTCAAACAAAGCACAAACGGATGTTGTGCTTACTGCCTACTGTGCTACTGCCTGTAGACTCTCAAATCCTTCTGCAAAAAGGCCGCTTTCTTGATTCTTGAACCCTGAAAGGACCATAAGGTAGAATAGCTTGTAGTGATGCTGTTTTGTTTTGCTTTGTTAACAAAATGATCAGGGTATCAACCTACTTACAGGGTAGGTTTGATGGGAGAGTTGTAGAAGATGTGTCAGTGCATCTGCACTTGATGATGTGTTCTTGAGTTCTCTCTCATCTGGATAAAATGTCTCAGAGTAAATAAGAATTGCCTGTATAGATGCCACAGATTATTGAAGTGTATTACCATTAATAATGGAACTTTAATCAAAGAGCTTGCTAAGGAGTGTTCTTTTGCTTGGGTCTCCCATGTCTCTCTTATTTGATGCTCCCATGACGTTTGGGGGAAATTCAGAATATCCAGTCAGAAACATGCTAGCTAACTTCAGTAGGTTTTGACTGGATAGGAGGAAAACCTGTTTCTCCACATCAGTTTGTAGCAGTTTTGGCTAAATGAATTGCTTGTTTGTCTTGGAGAAAAGCGGTAATTTTTGAGACCAAATTCTTCCCTAATTCATAATTTAGTTGCAGATAATGTCAAGTCATGACAGCAATCACAAAATGTAACTACAATGAACAAGTTATGAATGCTGATTAAGGAAAATAATCTGGTCATAGTTCACAGTACCTTTTTCCATCTTTTTTGCTTTATTCTTCCCCCTCCCCTTGACATTCACAAAAGTGAACTTAATTCTCACAGTGTGAATAAGTTTATGGAAGTAAAGTAGTATTCACCTATAGCCTATTATGACCTTACTCGAAAAGCATGCATATTATCACACTAATAATCTAAAAGCTGGTAATGTGAAGACTGAATGCCAGATGGACTCTAAGGACACTGCTTCATTTACTTTCTGGACAGACTGATTAAAACATGACTCCTGGTACTACTGGAAAATGTGTGCTAGTAGCAGTTCTTCCTGGATAAAACTGTCTTTTTTGGCAGTTTTTGAATTGGTAAGACCTGATACTATTGTGTTAGCACAGACTGGTCTTAATAATAGAGACTGTGTGTGTGTATATCTATGTCTGTTTATTTAGTTAAAAAACAAACAAACAAAAGAATCTAGTGGGCTATTGCCTTTTGCTTTTATTCTTGAAAACGAAGGATTTGGTGAAAAGGATTGCTTGCCCCAGGATCCCTGTCCTCTGTATTTCTTGCAAGAGACATTCTTGCTTGTCTGATTTAATAGTACAGCATCAGCCTAATATTTGAAAGGTATTTTAATATCTGTTGACTTTTGAGAAACAATATCAGACCAAGTAATTTGTGAGGCTTAAATTTCATATGAGCCATTTGCATCTATTCAGTTTTCCTTTGTTCCTTTTTATGACTTAGCTTGGTGTGAAAATTGCCAAAGCTGCTGCTTGCCGCAACTTTGTAAAAGCCAAGCAAGAAGCAGAGGCTGCCCAAGAAGCTCGAAAGAAAAAGAAGCTTGCTTGGGGGTAAGTCATTTGAGTATGGAATTAAACATTTGTGGTTTCATTGGTACTAAGTGTATACAATGTGATGTCAGTTAAATGTTTTCTTAGTTGAAATAGGCTTGTGCTAATCTTATTTGTTTAGTTTAACCTTGTTGGGTTTTGGGTTTTTTTTAGTAGTTTTTTTTTTTTAGCAGTGTATCAGACTTAAGTACAGCAGCTTTACCAGAATTAATGTATTGGTTATATGGCTACATTTGCCTTCATGTCTTTATTACAGTATTAAAAATAAGTGAGGTTTTTTTTTGTTATTAAGAATACTGTGGTTGAATACCTGAAACACATATGCTTATGGTTCCTAACATGGGTTTTGTGCTCTATTTCAGATTTGAAGCCAAGAAAAGATGGGAAACAAAAAGCAACATGGGATACATGTAATCCATCCTGTTTTCCTCAGTAGTCGAATACCTGTTTCTACTTGAAGAATCTTTGTGGGCGACTTCTTAAATCTAAACACAAAAAAACCCTTCCAAAACAAAACCCAACATATCAAATTCCTTATGTTTCTCTTAATGCTGTTAGACTGCAGTATCTTGTTTTGGCTTTCTCTTACAGTGTAGCAAAAATACTATTTAAACATCAATACTATGTTAAATACAGTATCTTTCTCCAAAATATGAAAATCTAAGATAATGCATTGTAGAATGCATTTGGAGTCTGGTAGAGAACTCTCTAAAGTTGGAATAAAATACTTGGTCCAAATGTGTTCTATGCTGCACTGCAGTTATAATATGTGGGTATAAGGAGAGGGATAAGTTTTCCTGCTAAGGTTATACAGACTTAATGCAGTAAGTACTACTTTTCTGATTGCTTGAAAGTTTGGGGGTGGCACTAAATAAGGAAAAGCAAAACCACCCTACCTGTTTAAAACCATTATTATTTATCTCATTTATGGGCTTAGTAAATATAAACAGAAAAAAATTGGCTGAAAAAGTCCATCCTTCTTCTCCTGGGAGGATCTTAGAGGTGCTATTCATCATGTCCTGGTGCCATGTTCTTCAGAATATTTCAAATTCCCATTTTCCTTTCCTTTCCAAGAACTCAAGCTTTAAAAGTCCCAGTTTCTTTGAGCAGATAAAGTATAGAAATATGTATCTTGAAAAATATCTGAAATACGTTATGTTGTGCAGTTAGATGCACCCAAGAAACAAATGCAGATTTTACTCCAAGTCAAACGTTCTACGCATCAATTAGAATTTGAATGTTTATGTTGTAAGATTATAACAAGAATTGATGATAATGTTTCTTCAAAATTGTTCTCAGTGAAAAGGACACATTCAGAACTAATAACTTTTCTCCCTGAAGCTGTTTAATATATGTTTAGTCACCACAATGCCTGAATTGACTTGGTAGTGTAAATGTCAGTTATTGTTAACCAAGATTAATATGTTTCAGGCCAAAGGTATGGTATTAGCGTAATGATGATTTACTATATAAGTACTAGAGGCTAAAACAACTTGCCAACAAATAGCAATTTGAAGTTTTACGGCACCAATTCGAAGACTTTAGGTTTGCAGTCCAACATGGAATAGTGCATTTTTGTTCATTAGCCTTCAGGATATTTGATTCTTTTTCTTTTTTAGCAGAACATCGTATTTCTTTCACAAAGATGAGAGTTTGCAATATGGTAATCTGCAGTTAGCTGTAATTAGTTATGATGACAGAGTTGAATACAATTGCCAGGATTGTAAATCAGGGGCTAAACAGGTTTTTGCAATATAACATCATAAATCTCACACTATGGTTTACAAACTACACTAGCTTTAGAAACTTTGGTGTGGAAGGAAGCAAGTGATATCTCTTTGTAAAGTGACTATAAAGGTAAATTGCATGTTTACTTGCATAAACAAACAGATTACACAGTGAACTTTCATGAAGATTTTTCTCAGTTCCCAATGTTCCTGTCCAAAACTTAGACACTTTGTCCATAATTTGTTATTTTTTAAGCAGCTGGCAGATGAGTGTTAGATACAGTTGACCTTTCTGCTTGTTATATACTGAAAAGCAGAATGATGCTGATGTTTTCAGCACAGAATTATCAGCAGTATTCCATTAAATATTTAAAAGTAGCATATATTAAACATGCTATACATTTTCTTGTAATTAAGTTGCTCTTAATAGTAACAGTGTTCATTAGTCAAATAAAGATCTTCATCTAATTGTAAGGATCAGTGCTGTTTGATACGAAAATGTGCTTTAAAAGAAATCCAAACCCTGAAAAAACAGCTGTTGTCTGAGAACTTGCCACATTGTATTTGTCACAGCAGTGCATACCCAGCCATCTGTAATATTTTTCACTTAAAAGAACCAATTAGTTTTATGTTAGGCCGTTAATAATGCAACTATTTAGGAAGTATGCAGAATATTGGGTTACTTGTGCGATGATTTTAAAAATTATCACTTTTCAAATATTTTGATCTACCTAAAGTATTTGCTTAGAATATTAATTAATTCCCAGAATTATACCATGTTCAAAAAAAACCCTGATTAACAGGGAAAATACAAAATCCTAATACAGCTTTATAGAGATCATCTGAATACATAATAAATAAATGAACGCATAACTGTACTTTAATAAACATCCTCCTAAATTGCTAATCTGATTCTAAGGTGTCTTGCATTCCTGACACTTTCTTTGTAGTTTTGTTCTGTACTATGAGTTTTGGCCAAACAAGTAAAATTGCATTCTGAGATTTAACTTTTCCTGATTTTTAACAGTGTTAACTGAAATAAGCATTTGGATTGTTTTAACTGAAACCCTTTTAATCAGCTTAAATATATAATCTCTGAACTAAATTTGAGATGTAATAATAATTCTTTTGGCAAATGAAAAGTTTGCGCTATCTCCTGGTCTGACTGAAATTACGTATCTAGAGGAATGTACTTAAATTATTAATTTCAGTATAAATCTGTTGTGAAGCCAAATATTTATTAGGAGCTTGTTTGATGGTATCTTGCGTTGGGCAACAGTTAAAAGGCAGCCTTGCCTAAGCTCCTTCCTACCACTCAGAAGCCTTGAAAAGCCTAACTGCATGCAGTAGTTTTGCCCCAGATATTTCTCCACCATAATTTCGTATTTCTTCCAACTCTAGTCATGGTACTCCATTGGATATCCCGAGTAGTCAAGTCGTTTGAGGAAAAATCTCGTAGCTTCCCAAGTGCAGTTCTCTGGAGTAAACAGAAAAACTAACTTTGAAAAGGGGAGTGTCCTCTCACAGTTATCCATCAGTCTTTAAACAAGGGTTGTATCTTGAGCTACCTGGCCTGATCAAAGCTAGCTCTGTTATTACTCAGGTACTATAACACCGCGAGGTGGTTAGACTGCTTTTGGTTTTACAATAGACATGGTCGATGTCAGGTTGATGGCTCCATGCACTGTTTTCACCAAGCGGTGTAGATGCTCCTCATACGCTTCTCGCTCACGTCGGTGTTATACTTTTTTGTTTCTACTCCCATCTGGGGATAGTCCACACTCCTGTTCTTGCAATTCTATTGCGTTCTAAGGCCTACACAATCAAGAAATAAATTGTTTATCAACTCCTATGATAAAATACAGCCAGTTTGAAGTTTGACAACAGCATACTAATACAATTACTAGTGTTTCTTAATACCGCATTCCTGAGCTCCTAAACCAAAAAGTGGCTGCAGGGACAGTTTGACAGATAAAAACATATATATAGCTGTTAGAGTTTTAATAGTTTTTTGCCTACAACCATAATCTGTATCATTTTTTTAGTTTAATTCTGTTGGACAAGTTTCAAAGATAAATATGGTGTGTAATAAGCCTTTGCAACCTCTAATTTGTGAAGGAGTGTCTGTCCAGTTAATACTTGCTCATTGAAGCAAGGGGTTTTGAAATAGCTGAAGTACAAACTGTAATTACTGATGTCTGTTTCCTATTCACCTATGGCTGCTGGCATTTGATCAAAAAATGTAATGTATTGCTTAATCTCAGAGCATTCCCCACTTTCAAAAATACTTTCTTCATGAGAATTGTACAGCACTAAATGACCTCAGCAAAACCAGAGTAGATTTTTGTTTGGCATTGATCATGTGTAGTTAATCCACCAACAAGTATTTTTTCCTGTTATTTTTGAATATTGGTAATTTAGATACGCATGTATTTATAATGTACCGCTAGTGTAAGCTCAAAGCATTTTAAAAAGTATTAAATACATTAATAATAGGCTGGGTTTTTTACTTTGCAAATGGGGTGGTTAAAAAGAGCAATACAAAGGATGAGCAATTTATGCGAGGACAAACTGCAAGCTGGCAGCAAAGTGGCAAATGGAATCTCCTGGTTTGTGTGCAGTTTGTCATAGCTGGAAATAACATGGAGAAAGAAGTCTTGAACAAATGTGAGGCAGGTGCCTAAATCTCTTTGAAAGCCATTGGGAATTGGGTATCTCATGACCATCTGTCCTACTGAGAGGGTAAAAAACTGGGATATTGAATGCAGATGTTCCAAGCATCACAAGAGTAAGTGGAAGCCCTAAGTTCATTTGAGAAAAGTTGTCATCTTTCTTGTTGAAAAATGCCTGCATTGCTTTGATCTGCCTCCAGCTGTGTTATTATACCATCAAATCTTTTCTTCACAGTTTCCTTGGGACTGTGTGTGACAGAGTTGAGAGTTTTTCTGTTTCTTTGCTTAGAATCAGACCTGGAATATAACATTTTCTCCTCAAAAAGCATGAGTTAAACGGATACGAAGAAACACAAACAGCCAACTTTATATATAAAAATGAGCTCTACAGGTTTTGTGATGGTTCTTACCATGCTCATTCTTTATTATGTTCATAAATATGATGGGCACCATCTGAGGACGGAGAAAGCTATTTGCAGTGAAAAGACAGCGTCATGCCAAGATGTTGGTTGAGTTCCAAATCAGAGGAGTATGTCGGTTATTGAATCATCATCCTAACTTAAATATTATATTTCATTTCTCCCGGAGTTTCCCAGGTATGCTGACTGCTTGGCTCATACAGATGAAGTGACTTCAGGTCAACATAAAGTGAGCACAGATTGAAATGACCAGTGTATTTCTGTTATATGTCTCAATGAACTAGCCTTTCGCAACTTTTGCTGTAACTGAGTGCAATTCATGTGATGTAAGAGAAAAGATACATACAACAATAAGGATTCTTACGCAAATGAGAACCGACTGCTTTCTGATAGCCGAAGAGGGAGTTTTGTTCATCCTTTTTGGCAACTTATCTGCAATGGCCAATATATTAATATACCCTGAACAACAAATCTAGGTATCAAGTAAAGTGTAACGCTACCTGTGGAATCTCTTAGCTAGATGGTATTTATAGTATTTTAAGGCTTTCTGTGTAGATAATTGTTGCTGACTGTCCTGACCTTGTGGGATCTTCCTTAATACTGAAATGCTAATTGGCCTCTATCAGTAGAGACCATTAATTCCAAACTAGTAGCCCCCTGAATTTGCCAGAACTGCTCAATGAGACAAGGAAAAATAATCTGCTGCTTCTTTGATAACTCTGATAATTCTGTGAAAAATCATTTGCATCTTCTGCTTCCGTGATGAAATATCATCACATTCTTTTGTGAACTGAAACGATTCCCAATATAACCAGGGGGCATTGAGATTTTTTTTAACATTGATTCTTCTTCTGTAGAATTTATAAAAATACCTTTTCCACAATTATATTCTAAGTATGTCACCAGCTGCCCAAACTACA